TTCCAGCCACTCCCAGAACCTCTCCACAAACCTCCATTGTACTTTCTGAAACAGCCTTTCTATTTCACCTCACTGCACCAAGCCAAGGCAGTGTGTGCTAGTGGTCAGATCATAGGGCTGGGTGCTTGCAGTCTTGGGGTGTAACCCTGGCTCTGTGGCTGCCTTGCTGTGTGACCCTCACCTGCAAAAAGGGGCTAGGTCCCTTAGCTACTCCCCAGGGTTGTAAGGCGCAGGCTAAACCAGTGAGTGTGTGGGGCTTTGTGCTCCTGGAAGGGAAGGGGTTACACAGGGAAGCAATGCAGTGTGGTGGTGCATACTGAGATGGGGGGAGAAGGATTGCTGTGTGCTGAGTCTGGTTCACCCATTGACTTGCAGTTTGATCTTGGGCAAGTCACGTCCCTGCTCCTTGTCAGGGCCCACATCTGTCCTGGCTATTTAGACTGTACGTTCTGCAGGGCAGTCCTGTCTCTTACCACATGTTTGTAGAGCACCTAGAACAATCGGCCTTCACTTAGTTGTCACCAGCAGGTACTACTGTTCTAGCAATGTCAAACGCTTCTTAGTCCCTCCGTCTGCTGTCAGCTCAGCCCGATTTCTCTCCCACATTCTGCCCTCTCACCCCTGTAAAACAACAGCATACACAGTGCGTGGAGACACCAGTCAATCTGTGTTTATAATACCTGCCCCCCTGCTGGTATTGCCAGTGGCTCTGTCTGAGCTGGAGCTTTCACCTGCACCCAATGCTGCAACTGCCCAAAGGCCGGTACGTCACTACAGCCTCACACAGCGCACGAGGGGGAAACCCTTCCATGATCACGCGGGGCGTTCATTAAGGAGGCTGTACACAGCCGAGCATGTTCATACTGACGCTGCTTTCCAGCACGCAGGCGCCTCTCTAATACACCTTGGCCTTACACACCTGGTTTGCCTCGAAGGCTCAGGCAGAGAACACTCCAGTCTCTTCCACGGGCTGCTCACAGTATGGGTTATAACAGGCGGCCCTGTTTTGCCCTGTGCCTCAGCAGGCCTCAGGCACGTGCAGACTTTGTGCTCTGGAAGGGACCTTGCCAGCCCCTTCCGTGCACCCGGTGACTGGCACAGTCCAGGGAGCAAAGGCCTAATTGGCCTGTGTGCAGCTCTGACACACGGGGGGGTGAGGAGAGGGGGGTTTATCCTGCTCTCGCTCAAACCCGTTTGGCACTGCTACGGCTCAGCTGGTGCCAGTGGCGTTACTCCTGTGGTAACTCCAGTTTCACTGAGCTCAGACTAAGGCTTAGCAGGTCTATATTTAAAGAAAAAGGCTGGCTAATTTGCTGAGCATGGCTAAGACTTGCAGCTGTACGAGCTCAGAAGATTGCTATATGAGGGCCCCGGTGCCAGGGTGTATGGAGAAGCTAAGAGATGGAAGGGATTGTGTGGGGGTAAAATGTTCCCCCCAATTCATCTGTGGTCAGGTTTATAGCATTGATTCATGGGTTTGGGGGGGAGGGGCGTGGGGAGGCGGTTGCCTTCCATGTAAATATCAAATAGCAGCCGCTGCTGAGTACTGGGTACCAGCCTACATGGCCCAGGGTGCTGCTCTGCTATGGCATCTCCTGTTTGCCCTTCTGGTCAATTGCAACCTGACAAGCAATGCCCAGCTAACCCCGACCTGTTATGCCAAGTGCAGCCAGCTACTCCTGCTCCATGTGTGGCACGCTGGTTAGCGGCGAGGTAATGACGCTCTGCTCATGGACTCCCAGCATGTGCCGCTGTGTCCTCACAGGCCATGTCAAGGTGAACAGCAGCCACTGTACCTTTATCATGGCTCTGGCAAGCTCAGCTCTGGACTAATATGCTTTTGCAATGGCTTGTCTTACCCAAGTCCCTGTGATACACTTGCACAGAATACTGGAAGCCTGGTACCAGTGACTTGGTTCATGGCATGCTGAGGTCCATGTGCCTGTCTATCCCTTTTTTACAAGCTACCTTGTTAGACTGTTTTAATGGCTGCCACACATCAGGCACTGAGCTATCCAGGGTGGAAGAGACTCCCAGCTGTTTTCCCCAAAAGGATCTGGCTAGTTGAGAAGCGTAATTTCTCTCCCCATGCCGCCCACTGGGCTGGAGGCTCCTTGTGGTAGGACAGTGTCTAGCTCTGTGTTTGTACAATAGGGCTCGGATCTGATTGAGTTCCCAAGTGCTACTGGCATACAATTAATAAGTCATAACCCAACCAGCGACGATGCTGATATACTCTGCACAAGGGCTTGCCCTAACCCTGCTAACGTGTTGCACTTCTGTAGCAGCTCCCACCTGAGGACCTCAAGGTGGTTCACACATCATCATGACCATAGCCTCCCAATGCCATGAGTGGCAGGGTAGTACTTATGACCACTCTGTCCCAAGAGTCTGAGGCCTTGCCCAAGGAGTCCTTGGGAAGAGACAGGAATAGAGCCCAAAGCCCCTGACTCCCAATCCCTTGGCCAGCTGCAGCACAATCCGATATATTGGTACGCCTAGGTCTTCTAATGATCAATGGTTGGCCCACAGTTCCTCTCTCTGTAACCTGTCTGAAATGGCTAGAGAAGGATGCAAGCAAATCACCTGTCACTGTTTTCAGTGTTGGTGGAGCCGTGTTGGTCCCAGGCTACGAGAGAGACAAAGTGGGTGAGGTAGTAGCTTTGATTGGACCAACTTCTGTTACTGGAAGAGACAAGCTTTCGCGCTACACAAAGCTCTTCTCCAGGTCTGGGAAAGGCCCTTCCCCAGACCTGGAGAAGAGCTCTGTGTATCTTGAAAGCTTGTACTTTCCACCAAGAGAAGCTGGGCCAGTAAAAGGTGTTATATCACCCACCTTGTCTCCTTCACTGAGTGGACATTTAGCAATTTGTGAATGTTGGAGCCCTGGCCAAATCCACCAGGAGTCTGTAAACACTCTCAACTGCATACATGCTTAGGGCTCAGTTGTGGCTTAGACCACACACTCATGCAAGGGAGCAAGGGGGAGTAAGAGACCCCTCACACATCTGCACTTGCTAGCCAGAACTCGGGCTGGGGCATTGGAAGGTGAGCAGGCATTGCATGACCTCATAAGGGATCAGAGCATTTTGAGCTCCATTCCCCAATGCACAGAGAGGACGTTGCATGCTGGCTTAGCCCCTGCTCTCTGGAGCAGGTGTCTGAGGAGGGGGTGGGGAATGCAGAGAGCCTTGGCCCCACCCCTGACAACCATACTGGCCAGCTGAGCTGGCACATGGGAAGAAGAGGGATATAATTTGCTGCTGGTATCAGCCAGTGACAAATTACAACACTGTCCCGCCCCCATCCAGCCTGGAGCACAGAGACACAGGGAGCGAATCTGAGCTCAGAGAGGTATGTTGGGCATAGTGACTCACAGCACTACTCATGGGGTGAAGTAGCGTAGGCCACACCCCAAGGTTGGCTGTCCTTAGCTCCTACTGCGTCCACCCTCCACGTGATCTAGCGAGTGACCCAGGCTGCAAGCTGCACACACTTGTTAATTATCCCCAAAACAGACTCACCCCTTCACAAGCGCAGAGTAAATTTGTTTTATTGAACATTCAGCTATCTAAACTTACTCGCTAAAAAAGAGTTCCTGTTTCTAAGCATCCATTTTATCCTTGTCTTGACAGAACCAGTCTAAATACAGTTATCTGTAGCATGATTGCATTGTTTTACAAAAACAAATGGCATGTACTATATGGTAAAACTCTAGGCAGGTCTAGCTGCTCAAATATTCCCAGTAAGGGAGATCGTTTTTAACCAAACGACTCATATGATTAAATACGGTGAGATTGAACAAGTGGTGGCATTCAGACTTGTAGCCCATTATGTTTCCTGCCATGGCTTCAGGAGCTCGGGACCCTAATCTGTTGGGCACCATTGGAAATGCCTGAGTACTTATGGGTGGGCTGGGTTGGGAACTGCTCCTGCAGCAAATAGCTGTGAATGTCTGGACCTCGCAAACTGCAATGGCAAGGAGGAGAGACCTTGGTGCAGCTGTTTGTTAGGAAGGAAGAAAGAAAAAAAATATCGGCGCAATACTGCTATGGCCAGATCTCACTCCCAGTGGAGTCAAGGACCGCCTTCCCATTGACTTCACTGGGAGCTGGATCAGGTCCCCAGCATACATTGCCAAGTCTGCAGATCTGTGATAAGGGATCCAAGAAACAGCGTTATAGTCCTGCTCCTCGTGTTGCTTTGGACCCAAGCAGGGTGGGAAAGGGCCAAAGGCAAAAACAAGAAAGCTCATGGGTTGGACACCATTTATTTCGTTTGATTCCTCTTTCAGAAATGCACCATTCACATGTTACAATATGTCCATGAAGATGGGGCTGTCAACACACTCAGTGTTGACACATCTCTACTCCCATTGTGGCCAATGGTTACCTAGTGGGAGGCGAATTCTAGGCAAACACTGAATGCTTCTGAAAATAACACCCATCACTTCCAATCAGATTTGGCCTCAATTTACAAAAGGGACTGTAGTGCCGATTCCATCGCCTGATACAAGTTGGCAGTTCCCCAACAAACTCACCACTACCAACAACCCTACGTCAGTTTCCAAGGAGTCTGTAGTTTGGTTGTCCACATGCTACCTGTAATGAAAATTCTAGTGATCAAGCCTAGCACAGTTTAGTTTAGACTCCTAAGTATATTGTAACGAACCCAGATTTAACACAGTATGTATTTTGCAGAACATGTGCTATTCAGCTAACCAGTTAAAAATGTAACATATGCAACCTTAGGGAAAAAATGATTGATTGCACCATTTGCACTGGCAAACATTTACAATTCACTCATTTATTTTTTAATCTGCTGATAAAAAACAAAAGCAAAACAAAAAACAACACCCCAAACCCTGAATGCCAAGAAAGGCAAACTTAGGAAAATGCCATGACACAAGAAGTGACATATTCAAAAGGGACATTTTTTTATGCTTTTTTTTTTCCACAACTGCGTGCAACAGAAATGGACAGAAAAAAACGAGATGTAAATCATGACACAAAACATGCATTCATTTTATTCACAAAACAGCCTGGATCGCTAAAACATTACAAACAGCATTTCAATTTACTGATGTAGAGAGAGCTGGAGAAACGGGGATTTGAACATAAGAGAAATATTAGCTTTCAGAACTGCTTCAGCACAGGTCCTGCAATTTTTTTTATTTTCTTTTAACTTCAGTAAGTTTATAAAAACGATTTCTATAAGTAAACCATTGCAATTAGGATCTTGTTTTCCCTGTATGCAGTATTTCTTGTTCTATATTAATAAACTAACAATGATTTTTTTTCCAAGACTGCCCATTTTGCAGCAATTTTTCTTTCATCTTTAATACCAAGCTTCTTGCTGGTTAAACTTACATATGTGAATGGTTAGGAAAAGGGGTACTACATCGTTTTAAACATATTCTCATTTATAAACATGAAGTTGAGGCATTCTAGAAACTATCCACTCTATTTTATGATGGGAAATAATCAAATAAAAAGTATAAATGAGGGTGTAATTAAACAACTGTGCTAAATTACAGTAGTGCTTATTAGTAACTAGATTTTAAAAGGTTACTGTAAATTTACATTCTCTACACAAGAACTGCATCTTCCACACATAAACAACATCAACACCAAAACACAGAAAGAAACTGATTGTCCATACTCTGTCTATTAAGTCTTGGTACTTTACAGATCCATTTTTTTATTATTATTATTTGAAAAGCAGTTAAATGTTTTACTAGGACTTGAAGATGTTAAAACAAACGCAAAAAAAATATATATATAAAAACAGGAATGAAATCTGCGAGAAAATATTTTTGGTTCTAAAGAGACACAGGTGCATCCATTCATTTCAGCCAAAAAATTCCTTGCCTGAGACAACACAAGCAAGCAGTGACATTGCACTTGGATGACAGAGCTTTGGAATTCTCATTCCTACTGAAACCATCTGAATGCAGCTCCTGTAGGAAGCATCACCTTCTGGAAAGAAAGAGAAAAGAAAACAGGGACACGTTAAGAGTCAGGTGCATGTGGGAAACACAACTGCTACTAAATACGTCTGCTCTGCACATAACCCTGGGGCCGGTCACAGAAATCTTTCCTCGTGAAATCAGTCCCATTACTCCTCAAGGATGAAATCCCAGCCCAAGGTCCCGCTTAAGCCCAAATGAGGATGGGTTTGCAAAATCTGGCCCTGCGGACAGGTTGTTAGGCGGGGCGGGGGGTCCCCAAGAAGCACCATGTTTATACTAGGGACCTTGTCAAAGAGGTATTAGCCGGCAGTAATGCTAATACAATCAACTGGTAAGTTGATTAAAGGCAGCAGCTAAGTAAAAGCAACATATGACAACATGCAAATTTTGTCTGGAGTGCACTGCCCTCCCTGCTGGGGCACGCTTTGCACTCACATTTCAGTGTCTTTGGGGTTCTGTTACTATACAGCTGGACTTGTCCTGCGGGGGAGACTTACGCCTTTTAGCAGTTGCAGCCTTTGGTGGGGGGAAAAAAGAGAAAGAAAAGTCCACACAAAAGAGGAAAATCTGTATTGGATGGGAGACAAAATATCTGCTTTGTAATGCGAGGAGGGAGGGAGTAGCTTAATGTAGGGGATCAACCCACTCCCCCCTTTGGAACACAAGCCTTTGGAAACACAATGCACAATTCCTCCTGTTTCAGGCTAGCCACTTCTCCCTCAACCATCCCATTGTCTGACTGCTGATTAGGGCACAAAGGGAGCCAGCAACTGCTAAGGGGCCCTGAGTGCTACACTGTACCAGGGTGCAGGGAGCTCTGCCGTCACTAAGTCACTCCCACCATCCTGGAAGGCTGGCGGCTGCCTGACGTACACTGCAGCTCCCAGGCACGATCTGGAATGGAGCTCACCACCCCTGACAACCAGTGGGCCAAATCCTGAGCCAAAACTTTCAAACCCAGCTGCCTAATGTCAAGCTCCTAAATCCAAATGACAAGATTCTCAAAGGTGCTGAGCACCCATCAAATCCTATTGAAATCAATGGGCGCTGCAGGTGCTCAGCACCTCTGAAAAACAGGATGTTCCTAGATAGTCTTGAATATGGCTCTAAGGAACCTAACTTTAGGCCCCCCAGCTTTGAAAATTTGGCCCCCAAGGAACAGGATCCAGCCTTGCTCAGGCAAACTCCCATTCACTTCAGGGAGAAGTCTGCTTGAGTGTGCAAGAAGTGAGGGCTTCAGGATTGGGCCCACTGAGAAAGGCTCAGCACACCTCAGAATTTGGGCTTGTGTTTGCACATTAGTAACTGGTGAGCATGCTGGCCCAGAAGCCTTTGTGGAAAGTTCTCCTTAGCCTCCTCTAGCCTGGGAAACTCAGCGGGCACTGCCAGTCCTGCTCAGAGCCAGGTTCAGCCCCCGCTTCTGGAGCACGGGTCCTGTCTGTGCTCTCAGCGAAGCTGTGGTCAGCTGCTGCCGTCCTCCACCACAGGGAAATCCCCTAGTGCAGACTCAGCCTGTAGGCGCTTTAATAAAAAAATGATGCATTTCAAAGGCAGGAAAAGAAAGAGTTGGCCTAAGTCTGCTCCATCACATCCGCACACAGATTTCATAACAATCAGCTGGGCTAGTAACTGAAGCTAATACCTTGGATCATGTTCTCCAAACCCCGCATCTCTGCTGCATCTTTTAAACAGTTCCTTACAAAGTGAGATTCAGGTGACATCTACTAATTAGCGTTCTCGTTTCAAATGAACAGCATTTCACCGGGCAGTCACTCTCAACAGCTCTGCCTGGCTACCACACACATCTTCAGTGACAGAAAGGGAGGTTTGTTTTCAACCAGAGGCAGAACGGTTATTATTTGGCTTTCACTGCAGGTCGCACCTCAACCCTCGTTTCCCGCTGGGTGAAGCCACAAGGTTACGGTTGTGATATGGACAAAAGGACCGCTCGGCACCAAGCTGAGACCCAACAAACTCACTGTGCCTGAGAACTGCCTGACCTGGTGCTGCGACATCGGTTTTTAATATGAAGAAAGGAAGCGTGCCTGCCTGGGAAAAGGATATCTCCTCCACCCACAAGGGCTCATCTTAGAAGGGTTTCACTCAACAGACCGGGGGGAGGGAAGGAGCTACAGAGAATGCTTGCTCTGAAAGGGCATCTGGAAAAACAGCTCTGTGATTGTTCCAGCCGTCCACTTACAGTTCCAGACACAATGGAACAAGCTCCTACTTCCCCTGTGTCTGATGTAGATTACAATGTCCGGCTTCCACTGAGTCGGATACAGAAAAGCCAGGCCAGCCTTCCCAGTGCAGCTGGCACGGCAAGGTAACTTTCCTTTACAAAGCTACCCTAGCCTCATGCTGATTGCTGAGCCTGCCCCAAACCTCCCCTTCATTTCAGGCCATTCAAAAACAGGCTAGGCTGGAGCACTTTGGGAAATCAGCAAATTAGAAAACGAGGGACAGAGCCCAAGATGGCAGAAATGAGCAATGCAAACGAGCCTTTCTGGGCACCTGTCAAACAACACGCACATTGAATCATGGCGCATGCATCCACATTTAAATGATAATACCTAGTGTTTTCTGTTCAATGGTAACACGCTTTACCAAAGAGCTCACAAGCATTATCACCCATGTTACAGATGGAGAGACGGCGGCACAGAGAAAGCTGGGACTTGCCCAAGATAAGCAACAGAGTCAAGACTAGAACTATGTCTTCTGCCAGTCGGAGACCTTACCCTCTGAACCACATGACCTTTATTAAACCCAATCACTTAAAAGGACAAACTTATCAAGAGCTCAGCTTTACACCGCAGTCCCTTGCATTTATGTAGTGTCCGGGGAATGCAGCTAGTGTATAGTACCGTTCCAGTACTTAGTACGGGGTTTGATGGGAAAGAGAGGAGGAATGTCTTCACACAGCACACAGTGAACTTGTGGAACTCCTAGCCAGGGGATGTTATGAAGACCAAAATTATAACTGGGATTAAAAAATAATTAGATAAATTCAGGAGACAGTTCCATCAATGGCTACTAGCCAAGATGGTCGGGGAGGCAACCCTACGCTCTGAGCATCCCTAGCTTCTGAGTGCCAGAAGTAGGGAGTGGACGACAGGGGATGGATCATTTGATGATTGCCTGTTCCGTTCATTACCTCTGAAGCACCTGGCTCTGGCCGCTGTCGGAAGACAGGATACTGGGCTAGAGGGACCACTGGTCTGACCCAATATGGTTGTTCTTATGTTCTTATTAATTTCAAACTGCAAAAGGCATGTGAGCTGGCAGAAATTAATTATCCGACCTAGGACACTGGGGCCAATACCCCGGTTCTTGCAGAACGCACCATGGAATCTTTAAGCAGCCACAAACGGTCAAGTCCTCCGGTTTACATCACCTCTGAATGGCAGCACTAGCAATGTTCAGGGAAGAGCGCTGCACACGGGGTATCCTAAACTATCACCTGCTGATCCTTGGGTTTTGCTTCCAAGTTCAGACCTGGCTTGACCCTTCTGAGATCCCACCGTATCACAGCACATGGGGAGAACTAACAGACATCAGAAGAGACCAGTTTTGAGTTGCACCCTTTAAAGAAGAGACCGTCAGAGAGTCAGCATTAGCTAAGGGAACAGAACTATGAAAGATTTTCAAAGCTCACATTGTGCTGAGGACCCACTGGTGAATGATACACAGCAAGACAGAGGAGTGTTCACCGGGGATTACAGGTCTTCCAGCCTGGATACTGAGGGAGATCTCCTACTCAAGAGTGGCAGGAGGCTTATCCTAGGCACTGCCTGCTATAAAGGCAGCAAGACAGGAAACCTACCAATGCCAGATGAAACTTGCTAGCACGTAGGACTCCCCAGGGGCAGCGCAGGGATTCTGAGCTGGTGGAGATGTAATGCAGGAGCCAAATGTACCAGTTAAATCCCTCTCCTTCCGTTCCTGCATAGCCAAGCTGGCTGAGGCTACTGATGGGGAAAGGCGGGTTCCCCCAGGACAACTATGAAGTGCTGCAGCAGCACCCAAGTGGATGAGGACAGGATGGGCTAGTGAGGAACAACCATCTTCACCCCAAACTGGTTCCACTGGCGCAAACACATCCAGCCTCTGGCAAGGCTTGACAAAGGGGAGGGGGGGAGAACGACCTGCCCTGCAGAAAGCCCCCCTCCCTCCACTCCTGCACTCTCTTTTTTTGCCCAGGAGGAAGCCGTGGTATTTTTCCAGAAAAGTGTTTATCGGAAACCCGGCGGGGCCTGACATGTACCACAAAATACTCTACGGCCACCATGACATGGCACAAGTGCTGCTTCCGTCCCTGCAGGTAAGGAAGAATCAGGACAGGTGTCAGGAAACATTGGCTCCTGATCAGATCTAAGTGGGATGTCCCCAGGGGCAGCAGCTGGGGTTTCCCCCCTTCCTCTGAAGCATCAGATAGGAACTATTGCCAGGGGCTGGATATTGGATTAGATGGACCAATAGGCTTATCGAGCAGGGCAATTCCTATGTTGCCATAAACCCTCAATCAGGTAGCTGCCTGTCCATGCACGCTTCCCTGACTCCACTAATCTCCTGTTGGAGAAGATGGATGCTAAGAAAAGCACTTCAACAGTCCAGCACAAAAAGGCAAACTGATGGAGGAGGCTCAGGGAAGAGGCTGGTGCAGTCTCTTGAGAACCAGTGTCCTTTGCCCAGGTCTTTCCAGGCACTGGTGTTGGTGGGAGACCACTTACAGCAGCAGCAAGTCAGCACGATGGGGAATGCCAAAGCCTCAGCTGATGATGAGCAGTCCTGGCACGGAAGCTGCAGGCACTCAGGGCTGCATGTTCATAGAGGCCTCAGCACAGTGTCCCTTTTTGTGCAACTAACTTCTGGTGTGTGCAAAACTCGCACACCTTTTAGCCCAAACACTTGTGTGTGCAAATGTTTGTATGGGCAAAGTCACTTTGGGTTGTTTTATCTCCTCTGTAGATGTGGACCTCGGGGTTTGGCTCCCCTCTTGCCAGCTTCGGAAGGAAATCTGCACCCTGCCAGAGGCCAGCTCAGCAGCACCGTCTTCCCTGCCATACAAGGACAGACAAACCAGAACTGAAGGATTTGCCCATGCACAGGAGCCCTTCAGGGACTGGATTTATGTCCTAGAGCCTGGACAAATGCCAACTTGAGGCTCAGGTGCCACCAGGGATTTTCAAAGTTGCCTCGAGAGGAAGGACCGAGCATTTTCCTCTATCCACAACTCACCCCGCTTTGGGGATGGGGGTTTTCTTCTTCTCAAGCTCCATCCAAATGTAAACACTCAAATGGCTGCACAATACAGGACAGAAATACCACCTGCCAGAATGGAAGGCAATGGTATTGCCAAGGCAGAGCAGGGGCCTGCCGGCAGCTGAACCCAGGAAGTATGGAAGCTCTGAGGGGCCTATCAGAATCACAGATGTTCTGCGAGTTTGCACCCAGGCCGTAAGATTACTCGTGGTGAGAGCATGACGCCTAGCCATGTGGGTGTGCTGCGTTCTGTCACAAGAAGGGCAGTAGCACAACTGCCAGGCACTACCTGGGACCTAGAGTGG